CTTTAGGTCCTCAAGTCCTATACTCTAGAGGTACCTTTAGGTCCTCATGCCCTATATTCGGGAGGTACCTTCAGGTCCTCAAGTCCTGTATTCCAGAGGTACCTTTAGGTCTTCAAGTCCAATATTCCAGAGGTACCTGTAGGTCCTCAAGTCCTGTATTCCAGAGGTACCTTTAGGTCTTCAAGTCCTATGTTCCAGAGGTACCTTTAGGTCCTCCAGTCCTATAATCTAGAGGTACCTGTAGGTCCTCATGTCCTATATTCCAGAGATACCTATAGGTCCTCAAGTTCTATATTGCAGAGGTGTCTATAGGTCGTCAAGTCCTATATTCCAGAGGTACCCTTGGGTCCTCATCTCCTATATTCTAGAGGTACTCTTAAGTCTTCAAATCCTTTATGAGGGAAGTACCCTTGAGCTCTCATCTCTTATATTCGAGTGGTACACGTATTTCTTCATCTCTTACTTCGTGGAATGAGCCTTATTCCCATTTCACTTGTTGGCCACGAACATGTATAAAATTGGCCACACAATAACTTGTTTGTTGCTAAGTGCGGTTTAATTTCCTTTTATCTATCTTTCACAATCGTCTTCGGTCATTCGAAGTGATCCAAACACGCTAGCCAAAAGAATGTGGTTCACTTCACATAGACAAAATATTGCAATGAAATACGACTACAAAGCGACAAACTCAGGTCAAGTTCATCCGAACGAACCCAAATATTTGTAGGGCACCCATTGGCCCTCAAGGGCTACCTTATCGGGGTACCCATAGGTCCCCAAGGGCTACCCTTTAGGGGTACCCATCGGTCCTCAAGGGCTATCCGATAGGGGTACCATAGGTCATCATGGGCTACACTATAGAGGTACCCATAGGTCCTCAACGGTTATCCTGTAGGGGTACCCTAGGTCCTCAAGCGGTACCTTATAGGAGTACCCTTAGGTCCTCAACGACTACTCTATAGGGGTACTCATAGGTCCTCAAGCTCTACCCCATAGGGGTACCCATAGGTATTCAAGGGCTACCCTATAGGAGTACCGTAGGTCCTCAAGGGCTGTCTTATAGGGGTACCTATAGGTCCTCAACGGCTACCCTATAGGGGTACCCATCGGTCCTCAAGGGCTACCCTCTACGGATAAGCATAGGTTCGAAAGTTCTATCACAGTGGGGTACCTCAAGGTGCTCAACTCCCATTATAGAGTGGTAGCTCGAGGTGCTCAACTCCCATTATAGAGTGGTAGCTCGAGGTGCTCAAGTCCTATTATATCTGGATATCTCGAGGTCCTCAACTGGTATTATGGTGGGATACTGCAAGATGTTCAAGTCCTATTATCGATTGGTACTTCGAGGTCATCAAGTTCTACTATAGAGAGACAGTGATCGATCATGAGCCTGCATGTTGCAGAGGTTTCGATATGAGCCAGAACTCGATTATACAGTGATACCCATAGGTGGTAAAGTGGTGTTCTACAGGATAAACTTGGTTTTTCAACTTCCATGATAACAAGATACCCTGAGATCGTGAAGCGCTGCTACAGAAGTAGGATTATGTCATCAACAATGACCAGAAAGGATACCCTGGCGTTCTTGAATCCTGTCACACCGATGATTATGGAAGAAATTGAAAAAAAACAAGAATAAATCTTTTGCATCAATAAGCGACCAATCCGTCGGAATATGGTATCGTTGATTAAACGCGTAAAGATGCATACATATACCGTCATCCTATAGAGCATTGTCGATAACTGCAGGGTTGGTTCGAGATGACTACTTGTTGTTGGAGCAATAAGAAAAAGGCTTTCCGAAATCTGATTGGTTGATTTTGGGACCAATTATATTGGAAGATGCGATGTTATTGGAAGAGAAACGACCGATACCCACACATAGAGGTGTAAGCCGATAGGCTGATCGGTGGCGGCGCCAGTTTTTTAAAATTTTTTTAAAATGCTCGGCGGCGCAGATTTGATATTTCAAGATTGCACAGCGGCGGCGGCTCGAAAATTGTAAAATTTCGAATACCATCGGCGGCGCGGCGGCTGTAATTAAAGTGTCTCAGCGGCGGCGGCTTGAAGTTTAAAAAGTACTACGTTATCATAAATAAATTAGTCTATAACCTTGTCTACACGAGGAGGATAATGCAGTATTCAATTCGTATTAAATCAATTCGTGTCTACATTTGTCAGTTAATGCATCAATCAGAATCCTTGACTTTGAAATGAATCGTAGTTTTTGTTCACTTCAATCATAGAGGAATCGCTCATTGAAAAATCCAATCAGACTTTGATTGGTGCATCAACTTTAATGTGGTTCTGAATAGTGCAATAAATTTAATGCACTTTATAAAAGTGTTTTAAATGTTTATTAACTGTTTAACCAATCATGTTTCTTAATTTACCATCAAAATTTTTAGTGTAGACAAGGCCTATTTCAATATCTCGGCCTTTTTATCTTCAAACACATATGTGGAAAAACTTTAATTCACATCTACACATAATAAAAAAAAAAAGTCTAAAATTAAAAATAAATATAATTGCTAGGGTAAATAATAAATGAAAAATCACCACCACGATTGTTAATAAGTAAAGGCACTTAGCGTATTCAAGTTTGTTGTTTTTATTTTGTTTTTGTTAATCAAAATTTAAAATGCTCGTCTCTTCTTGTATTTATTAATATATCTAATGTAAAGACATAAACAACTGAAATGATAACTTAGAATTTTCAACCAACACAGAATTAAGGGTTTGTTTACAATTTAGAACCCCAAGCACCTGACTGGTCAAAGAACCAGCACGAAAGTGAAGTTGAAGACGAGGAAGATAATGAAGAAGAGATTTATTGGGATTCTAAGATGTCAAAGTACCGAATTAAAGAAAATATAAATAAAACGTTTATTTATGCTAGTTGCCAGCGGCGGCAGCGGCTCGAAAATTTTAAAATTTTGAATACCATCGGCGACGCGGCGGCTGCAATTAAAGTGTCTCAGCGGCGACGGCTTAAAAATTTCCAAAATTGCTACTGTCACGGCGGCGGCGGCTTAAAATTTTTTGAGTCTGTCGGCGGCGACGGCGGCTCAGCCGCACGGCTTACACCTCTACCCACACACATTTCCATCAATCGATAGAGCATCGTTGATAGCCCTAGGGCTTCGCCCGGACCGCACTAGTCGTTCTTCGAGCAACAAGTAATGGGCTTCTGAAATCTCATGGGTTGATTTTTGGAGCCATCAGATTGCGAGATTCTATTTCATCGGCGGAGAACGAGTCGAGACCTACACATATACCCGTCAATCGACAGAGCGTCCTCGATCGCCCTAGGATTCACCTGAAGCTGACTAGTGGTTGTTCGAGTAATAAGAAAATAAAGGGCTGCCGATATATCATTGATGAATTTTTGAACCAATGAGATTGTGAGATTCTATTTCATCCGAAAAAAAAAGGAGCGTGACCTACTCATATACCCATGAATCGACAGAGCATCCTCGGCAGCCCTAGGGTTGGCTCGAACATGACTAGTGGTTCTCCAAACAGATAGTTAAGGGAACGCATCTTCAAATCTAGTTGTTGGAAGTTGGATAAATAAGATTTCAGAAAGAGTGTTGGTTGACGCTGTCGTGACAATGACAAGTGATGCTTGGAGTGGTCTCCAAAATTTTCACCGCGCTTTCTTCTATAATGGATTTGTTCAGGGCTCCGAGTTGTATTCCACGGAGATAAAGCACGCCTGAGGAGTAGTTCATTCTCTCTCTGTATGGTTGAGGAGGATTCGAGTTTTCACCTCGTACTACAAATGGTTCTTAAGGAGCAAAGGATACTCAAGAATAGCACGCTTGGGTGGAGAACTGCGTCGAATAAGATGATTTGAGGATACATGGTTACAACGAATACTAGGATATGTCGGCATAAGATTACCCTTCTAGTA